GAATAAAAAAAGATATAACGTTTATAAACAATATTTCAATCAAAAAATTGAGAAAGAAGGTTATGCTAAATAGACTTCATGCTTTATTGTTGATGTCTACTCTAGAAAAAAAAGGATACATTTATTTTGCAAATGATTCATATCATCAAGTGTACCATTCCAAATTTGAGTCCAATCAAACGATCGGTTTTTAGGTGTGGACATAAATCCATTTGCTTTATCATTAGTCAAAACTTGCAAATCGAAATCAGACCATCAAATTGGACGGAGGGAGTACATAAATCAACAATAACAAGTACTTTGAAAAACTGCATTTCAGTAGACCCGCATTATCTATATGGACTATCGAGTAGAAAAAGAATAAGTATGAACCACCCCGCGACTATATATATTGAAATGTGACATTATCTTGAATATGAAACATGATGTTTTTTCAAATGTAAGAGTATATCCAATGCATCAATGTGTACGAGACACATGTGACATGAGAAAGATATTGAAAAATAAACCATTCACATTTCTCTCACTTTCACAGTTTTATATAATTTTAGTAATTTTTCACAACAATATTAACCACAATATTTATTGTCTACATCGAGGCACTCATGATATTATGAAGAAAAATTTACCAAGAAACATATAAGATCTTTTAAATAAGGAGAGAGACATATTGTTCATTAATATTTATGTGTCTATTTTTCTCATGTTACATGTGCAATGTGCATATTCTGTTATTGGAGATGTTCTAATGAGTGGAAAACCTAATACGGATTACAGTTTAGGCAATCTTTATCTCAATTCAGAGGCCGTTTGTCAACACTATTTTTCGGCTTATCAGGCTTATCAGCTAACTTTTTCACCAAACATGTAACTTTTGTTTTCGTGCGCTGAATTGTGTAATAAACAGAAAAAGTAAGGTTAGAGTTACTTTTCTGGCTGTATTGGCTGAAGTTATTGTAGATGACCATTTTAGCGATTTTTATATATGTATTTTTCTATTTTATTAATAAAATATATTTTGAAAATAATTTTTTCTTAAATCATCAGAATCAGTCAATGCAGCCGCTTCAGCCAGAACTTCATAAATTTCAGCAGAATCAGCTCAAACAGCCGATTTTGGTGCTACCAAACGGGCTCTCAAATTATAATGTTTTAAACTAATATGATAATGTCTCATGAGTCCCTTGATTGGTATTGTACTTGATCAATAGCTAATATATATTCAATTCCTAATAAATAGAATCGCCAAACAAGCAAGCCTAGCAAATATCTACCAGCAGAGTAACTACAACAACATGACAACATTACTCATAGTGTTGTAAAGGCTTCCACCCAACTACCCAAGGTGAAATGGGGTCAAATGTAACGTGGTCTTAGGGCCTGTTTACTTTCGACTTAGGCTATGTTTGGTACAATTAGCTGAAAAGATCTTTTTGTGAGCTTTTTAGTAACTGTTAGCTTTTAATGACTGAAAAGATCTTAAAAGTAAAAGGTGGTAGCTGTTTAGTAAAAAGCTGACTGTTTGATTTAGTTCTGTTTGGCATACAAGCTGTTAGGATTTATTAAAGCTAAAAGTCACAGACTTTTCTCAGATGCTACTACCTGTAGCATCTCAAAAAAGAGCTTTTATTTTTTGAAAAGCTCTTAAAAATTGGCGTGTCAAACAAACAACTAACAACTTTTAGAGACTTTTTAAATAGTACAAAAGCCAAAAGCTATAGACTTATGTCAGCCAAACATAGCCTTAATGGGCTGAATAGAACTAGTGACTTAATCATTCAGTTATATAGTAGTGTTTACTTACAACTTAATTTTTAATGCGACTTATTCGCTCAGTCAAGTTGTCACTTATTCGCTCAGCTCCATTTTAACACTCCTTTGCATTCAGACGTGTTTGCGTTAAACGATTTCCGTCTTTAACCCTGCCTTGTCCTTCAAAAATTTCTTCTCAGCGGCTACAAACCAGTGAAAATCGCCGGCTCACAGCAAGCCATCGCTCCCAACAACTTGTATCAAGAAATCAGCGAAGAGAAGTCTCGAACCTGCCCTTTTCATATAGGTATTTCATCTGATTTTATATTTTTTATTCTCTCTTTCTCTCCTTATCTTCGATCTGGCGCTGGCTTTCTAAACAATCCATATATTTCTGGTAAAATCACTATATTGTAATTGTTTGGTAAAATTTCTGAAGTTCAACTTAATTTAGATATGCCATTATACTTCTTCCTCTTCTCCTTTAAGACAGCATGAAGAAGAAAAGAGCAGCCGAAAGAAGAAAGCTCAACGATTGAATTATGCCCAAGGCAGAGGATATTTGTTCTTGAAATGTTGATACACCATCTATTTTCATGATTTCTTTTTATTATTGTTGGAATACACAATGAGTTCTTGTCTTCCAAACACTGTGTTAATGGTTGATTCATTGTTTATTGTTTTTCCCATGGCAGATTTCATTTGTAGTTAACGTAAGTAATAATTGCAATTTTTTGTGGCCAGTGTTATTATTATTTATTAACCCGTCATCATTTTATCTGTTGGCAATTCGTAACCTGGAGAAGAAATAGATACGCAGTAGAATCCAATGGGGAACAAACATCACAGAAGTAAAAGACAAGACAAATTTATGAGATGATATTGCTAATGATCATCACTTGTAATAGACAGAAGGGTAGATTGGGAATTTAATATAATTCAGACTATACATTCAGCACACATAGTAAACATCTTGTTATCTCAGTGTCACTTAATCCAGACAGACCTCTTAATACAAACAGACGTCTTAATCCAGACAGGACTTGATGAAAATAAAAGTAAACAGCCCCTAAGTGTCTTACCGGCCTATACTAAAACACAAAGATATTAATATATTATTTTCGGATCACCCATTCACCCATGAAGCAGAGTAACTATTATATGTCTAAAAATAGTTTATTCACAAGTTTTGGCACTTGGATTGGCAGATAATTCCACACGGCACTGTAGATTTATACTTGATACAAGTATATACTCCGTATTTTGTACGCACTTCATAATTTTTACATTTCAAAAGTGGAGCGAATCCCCAAAACCAAAATAAAACCACTTAAATCCCCAAAAGCGAAAAAGTTTTATACGTTTGGTCCTATATTTATAATCATACTTTACTCCAAAAACTGCGGCCAGAACCTGACCAACTAAGTTGGAATGACACGCACCAAATGACCAAATAAACTATTGATAATCCATTGCTTAAAAAAGTGTTATCGGGCTTTAAAACATTAAATCTAGTACACCGTAAATTAAAAAATTTGAAGGTAGCGTGTGAATGAATAGAGTTTTTTCCATTTTTGGTCCCTCGACTATTATGTCAATGACACTTTTGGTACTCGACTTTTATTTTTTCTTTTTTTAGTCCTCAACTATTGTGCTAGAGACACTTTTAGTTCACGACTTCAAGGTTTCCCACATTTAGTCCCCTGAGTATTATCAAATTGACACTTTTAGTCCTCTCATCATGATTTTGACACAATCAGTTGAGGACTAAAAATGCTATTAGCATAATAGTTGAAAGACCAAAAATGTCACTTTTATGAAAGTTGAAGGACTAAATGTGGAAATTTTCAAAGCCGGGTACCAAAAGTGTCTATAGCGCAATAGTCGAAGACTAGAAATGGAAAAAATCAAAGTCAAGTACCAAAAGTGTCAGTGACATAATAGGAGAAGGATCAAAAGTGGCAAAAACTCTGAATGAATACTTTAAGGGTATGTTTGGTTCAAGGTAATCACCTATGCAGGCCGTAATCTCATGCCCGGAATCTAAAATATCCGTGTTTGGTTCGTAGGTTTATTTTTATGGGGGGAATGTCACATTCCAAAAAAGAAGAGAAAGTAATAGGATGCCCCTCCATCTCAAACTCACTCAACTCTTAGGTTATCTTACATTCCTTGGTGGGAGTGAATTTTATTCCAAAAATATTCATTCTCATTTAACCAAAATGGTTTAAATAGCATACAGAGTATTTTATTTTTTATTTTTCTTAACCCATCCGCATTGGAATTTTTTTAAACAAACCCATCCGTATTGGATTAAGAAATACAAAATGTATACTTTTGAATTTGATTTATTAAAAATTAATGAAATAATTACATATTTATGACTAAAATAAAGCTTGTTTACAAAAATGTGAGTAGTGACTACAGTAGTAATTTAATCATAATAACTTATATTGAACTTTTAAACTTAAATGATCATGATAACTTAATATATGAGGAGATGGTGTTATTATTAAGAATAAAGGAGTTAATGTGGTTGATAGTGAATTAATAAATTTAGAATAAAGTAAGAATGATTTAGAAGGATCAAACGTTAATTTTTTTTCACTAGTGGTTGTCTGGTTGATAGTGAATTACCTTTAGTAGGAGTAAAATATAACATGCAACTTTTCCTTAAATAGGAGTCAATATCTAATATTTCCTAAGTAGGATCAACCATTAATTTTCTACCCCTAATCTAATTAATTAATTGCCCCCTAAGTCCTTGAATAATCAGGTCATTCTATTGGTGACATGTGGTCCATTGATTTTTTGATCAATGAAAAACGTAGGCTCCTATCGATGAAGACATTCTTTCTCGGGACCCCGACGATTGTAATAAGGGTATTACGAGAAAATATTTTTAAGGGCATTGAAGTAATTCACCAAGTTTGTTGTATAATACATGATTTAACCAAACAAATTAATGTCACATTCCTTTAGTCTCAACCAAACACAAATGGGTACAAATTGAATACATTCCCATCAATATAACATACCTAGTAATCTGACATTCCCATGATAATCTGACATTTCTTGAACCAAACATACCCTAAACTGTTTTTCATTTACTTTTTGTTACGGACTACGGAGTACTATATTTTGACTTTATTCTTTCAAAATTATTTCTTCAATCCCCACAACACTACCAATTATGGAGTACTAATAATTTTTCACATAATCTCTATTAATCACTGCTCATAATCCTTAAATAGTTCATGAACACCTCTATCATATATTCCTTATGTAGGAAAATAGTTCTTCAATGGGTCATTTAAGTTGGAATACTTAATACCTCACGCACAATGGGATACACCAGCACCCACAGTAGGATAATTAACACACTTACACAAGAGTTTTTTACTGATATACAAGTATGAAGTTTCTGGAGTAGCACATTGCAATTAAGCAATACAAAAGCCTGAATTTCCAAATTCCAGCAATCTTAGCAAGCAAAAGTTGATGGGGAGATGCCGTAGCGACTCTTGAGTGAGTTTATGGCTTTCTCCACTGACTGCAAAAGCTCAGGGATTGACGATTTGCAGACTGAAATTTCATCAGCAAAAAGAAAACATAATAGTCAAATAATCGTCCATCATTAAAAATGAAACCAAAAATCAACTTGGCCACACGCATCTTGCATTTTATGGCACATAATTGAAAGACCGCTTCAACGGTGTGCCGGAATTGAATTGTTAAGAGTCTGTGTTGTTACTAAAATAGAGTAAAAAAACAAGATATTAACTTCCCATGCACAATAATCTACTCTCCATGAAGACTTAAAACCTAGACAAAGCTGTAGGAACTCACAGCGAGATGAGTTAGCCTGCACTTCTGCCATGAACTCACTGTATGACTCCTAAAAAATAATGTACAGATAGCAAATGGAAATGGCATAAGCATGAAAGAACACAAGGATAATGGTCCACTAAAGTTATACAAGTATGTGGTACAAATAGCAGATGGTGAAGAGTGGAGGACTGACTTGCATTCCCTCCCGACCTTCTTTGATTCTCTCAGACATTTTCTTATGCTCCCTCTCTGCTTCGTCTGCTTTTTGCTGACAAGCTTGTGTTTGGACCTGTTTAAATATCCCATAATTCCCATAAAAATTGTTAGCACGCAATAATATGCCATCTCCACCTCCATGTTAGCATGTTTAAGCAAGTGCAAACTGAGCAGCAGACTGCAGACAGTTTATCAAAATACATTGTCAGCAATGGGAAAACTCAACTTCATTTACATTGTAAGAAAGATCAATTATTCACAGTGAGCCTTTAAAACATGCATGTTTATTTTGAGTACAAAATTACATTTAATCCATGATCAACTGTAATGAAGGTAATTGTGTTCTGTATAATAGCCATATAGTGTGTAGCGGTGAAGCAGAGTCATGCATCAGACACATGTGACGGCAATGCTGATAATGCATAAACATACTCCGGAGTCCGGATTACATGCAAATAAGTATGAAGTATCAAGTATATCCATATGTTTCTACATGATACCCATGAACTTCAACATAGCAGATAAGAGCAATGATCTAAGTGCATAATGCTTTATTGCCTGTAGAAAATCTACTTTCAGCTTGCTTAAGGATAGTCAAATTCATATAATCGATCTCAGAGTTTAGCGCGTTGAAAATATCAGAAAGCGATTAAGCACAAATCTAACAGAAAATCCTATGGCCGCCCGCATAACATATACGAAGTATGTAACCAAAATTTCACAAATCAGATTAACACAATATTTAATCCATAAAAGGAAATTCACACATAAAACCTTGATCCGCTTATGAATGCGAGAATGAGTGGTCTCAATGTCCTTCATGATCTCGGAGTGCGAGGAATCGAGCTGCTGCTTGATGGAATTCAGTCCAGAGGTCGCGAAGTCCTTAAGATCGTCTATAGTCTTGCACTTCTCTACAGACATCGGAGACTTAGAGGTCCGAATCGGCTTAGAGCTCTTTCCTGCTCGTCTCTCCTTCGAAGATGACGGTGGCGTCAGAGTAGTAGCATTGAACGCACTGAACTTGAACTCAAATGGCATCGGAGACTCGCTGGAGGAACGGTTAGGGCTCTTCGCTGCCGCAGTCGGCGGAGTCTTCAGAAGGTCCTCCGCCATAGGCTTCCTCGTTGTCGCCGATCTCTTTCTCATATTCCTTAAGCTAGTGGTCTTCGATCTATTTGCTGGAGAGTGCTGCTCTGTAATTCGAAATGAAGAGAGAAATTCAAGTATGTATAGTGGCGCGTTTTTTCAAAACATATACGCTGCATTTGAAATTGTTGCGAGGATTCAACTAACTCACAACACTTTTAACAAACTCAAAATGGGCCGCTACCTTTATAAGTTTGCTGTATAAGAGTCTGTTCAGGTTTATTCCTTCGAACTTTAGGTCTAATACGTAAGTCAAAAGATCTCGAGTGGATATTTTAGTGTGAGTGAATATGTGATCCAACAAGCAACTAAGATGGGGTAATAAATGGTAAGCAAGTAAGAGGACCGAGTACTATTAATGTCTAATAACTCCCCGATACAGTATATTTGCTGAGGCCGAAGGCCGTTCGTCTTACACCTCAGTAGAAGAGTTGCGAGTGGTAAGCTAAGAGCTGAAAGTAAGCGAGAGTGCTAAGGCTAATAAATTGTCAACCCTTTACAATGAAATAAATGTTATTATTTATACCACCAATGGGCAGTTGGCTATACTGATGTGGAGAGCTGTGAATGGCTGATGCCACAACCACCAAATCCCCAACATTAAATGTGCTTCCCGCCAGAATCTTGGTTTCTCGCCTTCTCGTGGAGACGGACGTCCTCCCGTTCTGGTAGATTGCCCCTGATGATACTGCAAAGGGTTGTGGGTTGTGCATAACTTGGCCCTTGTGTAGAATATGTCACGTGGCTTTCGGGTTGGATTCCTCTGAACCGTGGACCATTGGTGGCGACGTTCGTCTTCTCAGCCTTTGAGGCATAATTCACCATTGCTAAGACTAGACGTTCGTCGTGGTATGCTGACCCGTTGGGGTTTAGACATTCGTCAGAGAAGGGGATTAATGGGCCGACCCTCCAATTGGGCCATTAACCCAACAAAGTCTTTTCAGAAGCCCATTTAGGATTATTGTTTTTTGCTCGAAGAAGGCTTAATTCATAAAAATAGCATTCATTTAGGATTATTGTTATAAATTGACATTTCCATTTATAGTACGAGGATCAATGAAAATATGATTACATATATCATTGTCAATGATGTTAGTATGTCACTAGCGGTGGCATATGGAAGAAGTAAGCATGTATGTAAGCAAGACCAAAAGTTGAGCTAAAACCATATAAAGAATTTTTTTCAGATAAAGTTTTGCCGTAAAAACACAGGCATCTTTTTTAATTTGGGTGAGTTAGGGCCCAGTCAACCCCTACCTCCGTCCCTGGGCCTAATGACATCGTCTCACATGCCATTACTATAGATGATTATTTGGGGGAATGAAATTTTTTACATGTAGTGATCGTTGTGACAGGAAGGGGCGACATATGTGGAATCTGTTTATAAAATTGGAGGGGAAATAAATTTAGAGTTTTGGAATTAATAAATTACTTTTTCGTTATCCACAAACTTTAAATAATGTTTATATTATTGCATCTAACAGCAACTATGATGGTCTCATAATAATGGTGGCATTCTACATCAATACATCATTTCTCACACTTATACGCACTTGTATTGAAATTTTAAGACAATATCATACGGAGTATAGAAAACCAGTCATTAACTTAAACATTGTCATCTATCTTCCTTTCCCATGTTAATAATCATGGATTCATATTGGTTGAGTACTTGAGTTTAATTTGCAGATCAGAAAATGATAGACATTGTAAAGATAAACGTTTAGGAATAGAAAGTCTTCAGTAACTTGATCACTCGGACAAATTCAAAAGAGAACAGCTAAAGATGGTCTAAAAATTACCTAAGAGGAAAAAATATGTTTGTATTTGTGTTATCTCATAGCATTAATTAGCACAAATTTCTCCAAACCACTATAATAGTTAAAACAAAAGTAGTTTTCTTGTACTTTATTTTAATTTATTCTACATATGTAATGTGGAGTTGCAGATTTTATGCATCTGTAGCTTAATACTGCCTTAATTTATACTTCAGTGTTTTCTTTTGACAGAATTTATACTTTAGTGTTGAGTATCTTATCTTAGCCATGTAGGAAATTTCTACCTTCTTTCTTGGAAGTTGCTAAGAGGCATCTCCCACCGCCACCTTCTAGGAAGGAGCTCTCCAACATATGAGCATGGGAGAAGATTGCTTGGAGATAGCTAGTATAGGAAACTCCCTAGCAATGGGAATGGAAGCTTGGATGCAACTTCCTCATGTCTCCCATATACACCTATAAATAGGGAGTGTATTGTTGTTCATTTGTATCAGTTTTAGAAAGTAAGAAAAGTGTGTGAACAGTGAAATACACTTAGAGTAGAAGTGTATTAGTGAGGATTGATTTTTTGTAATAGTTGAGTGTGAGAGTTTGCCCCTCCTATTGTAATTCTGCTCTTGATATTGAATAGAAGAATTTTCCAATCCCAACAAGCCACTCCACAATCCACATTGTAGGTGTTATATATGTGCATTAGAAAGCCTATTGTTTATATATGTGCATTAGAAAGCCTATTCTATGCTTTTAAAACATAATATAGGGTGTGTATAATACCCCTCCTTTACCAATCTAATATAGATTTCATAATTTTTTTCAAGTGCATAGAATTTTGTAAAGAATAAATTGCATCTAAAAAAAATTCATTTCTCGTATAATATACTTCGTATATTGTAAAAATGCACTAGATTGATACGATTTTTATAGTACAGATAATGTGGATATTAAATTTTCCAGAATAAAAAATGGTTATAATATATTTGTGGATACACGCAAATGAATACACACTTGAAGTCTTGAACTATAAAATTGTTGGTCCCAACAAAATATTTATTGAAATGAGAAAAATATAAATATAGTAAACGTATTACTCCGTACTTTTGAATGGTGTGATCCGATATTATTCAGTCTCAAAATCTGAACCGGTCTCGTACCCGTTTGGGATAAAAATGAATATAATCATTTAAATACATGATATTCAATTTAGTTTAATTACAGGCCAAATTTGGTACGAGTTCGGTTGGGCTTTTATGCTGAAGTGGATCAAAGTAACATTTGACCAGCAAATCCGGGTCATCTTAATTAAATGGCTCGAAATCTAAGGCTGGGATCGGTCCAGTCCGGGTCGATTGGGTTTATGCTAAACCCGAAAATTACCCGTAAGGTCTCGGGTTATGAAAATTAAGGACCAGAATAAAGCTCATTATATTCGATCCGAGTCGGTTTTTGGTAGCCCGGGTTTGGGTTGAGCCGGTTAAACCCCAACGTGAAATCATTTCATTTTTCTTTTGAATTTTAAAACCTATTCTCGAATAGAATTATTCAAAAATACAAACTACAATTAATAACACAAATATTATTCTCCAAAATCACCAACAATTCAAACCGAAAAAAAATTAATTATCTTAAAAATTTGTTTAAGATGAATATAAATAAGTAATACAGATTATATATAGGTTTTTTAAAAAAATTACTAAATAAAATTTGTGGATAAAAATGTGACTAAAGTTACTATAAATATATTTTCATGATCATTACAGTATACAAAATTGAACATATTTGTAGTCACTAAAAGTACTAAGTCATTTTTTCATCCACCGTGATTATAATTAATCATATATTAGGTATTATTTATAAATTAGAATTCTATGGAGGTGATCAGCAAGCATGAAAGCAAAGGTGTTGTTAGGAATTTAACTCACAAACACGAAGAACAATTAAAGAACACACGAAATTTGGTAACCCAGTTTGCCACAGAGGACTACGTCTGGGGGGCGCTACCAAGCCAGGAATGTTATTAATATTTTCTGGATGCAGATTACAAGAGAGGAGAGTGGTATTTATAGAGATGCAGTGTCTTGTTCCCAAAGCAACATAACCCCTAATAAAATTAGGATGTGTTTCCAAAAATAAATTAAGAAACGTGTTTCCAAGAATAAATTAAGAAACTGTTTCTAACACCTTACAATCTCCCACCTTGAGACTGTCTTCTTCAAATCCTCCCTTATTAGCATGGTAGCGCCGGCCTTCAACTTCAAGTACCAAGGCCAATTGAAGCTATGCAAAGCTTCAACTTCTCCAAGGTTACCACCTTAGTAAACATGTCTGCTGGATTCTCACTCCCACGGATCTTCACAAGCTGCAATGCCTCTATCTCTAGAAGATGACAGATGTAGTGATACTTCAACCGAATGTGTTTGGTTCTCTTGTGAAAAGCTGAGTTGTTTGCCAAGAAGATAGCACTGTGACTGTCACTGTAAAGAATGTTATTCTTGTACTCCTTCCCAAGTTCCCCAAGTAAATTCTGAAGCCACACCATCTCCTTACTTGCCTCCGTAATGGCCACATATTCTGCCTCTGTAGTAGATGATGCAACAATCTTCTGCAGCTGCGAAAGCCAAGATACTGCTGTCCCACCAAATGTAAAAACATACCCTGTGGTGCTTCTTGATCCATCCCATCAAATATAAAAACATATTTGATGCCAGATCTGCATCAACATGTCCCAGCAGCTCTACATTCTTTCCATCAAAACACAAAGCATTAGAAGCAGTACCTTTCAAATACCTCACGATCCACTTCACAGCTTCCCAGTGTTTTTTCCCAGGGTCTCCCATGTATCTGCTCACTACTCCCACCGCATGTGCAATGTCTGGCCTCGTGCGAACCATAGCGTACATGATGCTGCCAATTGCCGATGCGTATGGAATCTTCTGCATTTGAGCACGGTCCTCCTTCTTGATGCGGTAGACCCACTTGCAGTGCAAAGCCTTCTTTCCTCTCGGTAGTTCAACTAACCTCCAAGTATCATTGGATGTGAGAGATGCCATCTCATCATCCATTGCAAGTTTCCACTTGCCCTTGTCATCAACCCGAACTGCCTCTGCATAGGACTCCGGTTCACCACCGTCAGTAAGCAACAAATAGAAATTAGAAGGTGAATACCTATTTGGCGCTCTTTGGTTCCTAGCAGGCCGCTGCCTTGGCGGAGTTGATGGATCCTCATCACTGCTCATCTCTTCATTCTGATCCTGCTTGCTCCCACCCGAATTAGAGATATCCAGCTCTATGATCTTCGGACTTTCTTGCTCAGAATCAGATGCGCTCAATCTGTCCTTGTACAGAACGTGCTCGTTGAACACCACATCTCGACTACGAATAATCTTCCTATTCTGCTCATCCCAGAATCTGTATCCATAGTCATCACCACCATATCCAACGAACGTACACTTCACAGATTTTGCGTCTAACTTGCTTCGGTCAACGGAACTGATATGAACATAAGCAACACAACCAAATATGCAGAGATAGGACAAATTTACCTCTTTACCCGTCCACCTTTCTTCAGAAATGCCATTCTCCAACGAGATCGTTGGACTTCTGTTGATGAGAAAAGCCGTGGTGTTCACTGCATCCGCCCAAAACATCTTCGGTAAGCCACTCTTCAACCTCATGCATCTAGCCCGCTCATTCAGTGTTCTGTTCATGCGTTCAACAACGCCATTATGCTGCGGAGTCCCCTTAGTTGTCTTCTCCATACGAACCCCATTCTCAGCACAAAAATTCTTGAACTCATGCAGTTTATACTTACCCCCATTATCTGACCGAAGGCACTTCAACTTCAGACCTGACTCTGTCTCAACACGAGCTTTCCACCTCCTGAAAGCATCAAAGGCATCAGATTTATTTTTGAGAAAATAAACCCACACCTTTCTTGTGGCATCATCAATAAAGGTCATGTAGTAGGCGGATCCTCCCAAGGATGTAACTTCTGCTGGTCCCCAAAGGTCGGTGTGAACTAGTTCCAGCTTCTCAGGTTTGATAGCTCGTCTTCCCTTTGAGAAACTGACACGTTTCTGTTTCCCGAATATGCAGTCCTCGCATAAGCCAACCTCAACAGTCTTCAGGCCGGGCAGTTTGCCCTTCGAGCACAGCTCCTTCATCTTTTTTTCGCTCATGTGACCGAGCTGACAGTGCCACAAATTCACATCGTTTGTTGCAGCGGCAACAACATCGATGCAGTCCTTTGAGTTCGTTGTCATGTACAACGTACCCTCCTTCTTCCCCTTAGCAACCAGCAAGGCTCCCTTGGTGATCTTCCAATTTCTGCTGCCGAATGTAACTGCATAACCTTCCTCATCCAGCTGCCCAATTGAAAGAAGATTCCTCCTCAAACCAGGAATGTGTCGGACACCATTTAGTTTCAGCATGCATTCGTTCGGAGTCTTCACGTGGACTTTCCCCTTCCCGACAATTTTAAGAGGCTCATCATCAGCAAGATACACCTCTCCAAAATTGCCGGGAGTGAACTGTTCCATCACTTCAGAGTTACCACATGAATGGAACGATGCTCCAGAATCCAGAACCCATGACTCCAACGGACTGCTCACGCTCAGAATCAGGAGATCATCACCCGATAATTCTGCCGCTGCATTGGCAGATGTCTTCTCCTTCTGATCCTTGATCTGCTCCTTGCACTGGCTCTTGAAGTGTCCGTACTCCTCACAATTCCAGCACTTGATCTGACTTCTGTCCTTCTTGCCCTTGCTGTTTGACTTGGATTTGGATCTTGATCTATCCCGATTTGACTTTGAATTTGACTTTGTTCTGCCCCGGTTCTCTGTACTCAACGCCGATCCAGAAGCCAAACCTGATTCCTTCCTGCGAATTTCTTCGCTGACCACCAGATTTCTGACTTCATCGAATTTCAGTTTCTCCTTCCCTGCCGAAGCGCTGACTGCAGTCACCGTTCCGTTCCAGCTTTCCGGGAGAGAAGACAACATAATTAGGGCATGAATTTCGTCGTCGAACTTGATCTCAACCGCGCTCAATTGTGTGGTGATTAAATTGAACTCGCCGAGATGCTCCACAACTCCCGTGGTTTCTTACATCTTAAGGTTAAAAAGACGCCTCATGAGATGTACCTTGTTCGCAGCAGAAGGTTTCTCATACATATCCGTTAATATTTGCAACATCTCCTTCGTCGTTTTTGCTTTGACGGTATGTAGGGCGATGTTTCTGGACAGCGACAATCGCACCACGCTCATCGCTTTCCTGTCCAGCAACTTCCAATCGCTCTCCTTCATGTCTTCCGGCTTATCCTCCAGAGGTTGATACAGATCTTAACCGTACAGGTAATCTTCGATCTGCAGCTTCCAGAAGCCGAAATCAGTCCCATCAAACTGCATCAACGGTGTCTTCAAATCTGCCATCGTGTTGAACTCTCCCTTCGAACCTAGGGCTCTTGATACCAGTTGTTAGAAATTTAACTCACAAACACGAAGAACAATTAAAGAACACACGAAATTTGGTAACCCAGTTCGCCACAGAGGACTACGTCTGGAGGCGCTACCAATCCAGAAAATATTAATAACATTCCTGGCTTGGTAGCGCCCCCAGACGTAGTCCTCTGTGGCGAACTGGGTTACCAAATTTCGTGTGTTCTTTAATTGTTCTTCTTGTTTGTGAGTTAAATTCCTAACAGGCAGTACTTTAAGCCTCTTAGAGTAACAAGTAGAGTAAAAGAAACCATTTATAACGCAAAATTAGATTTTTTTGTAAAATAGATTGATAACGATAATTGTTTCGGTTTTTTATCTGTTTTGACCAAGTTGATGATTTTAGAGCCCGTTTGTGAGCCTGAATATTCGGGTTCAGTCCGAGTTTTTTTTTTGTCAATTAAAAAGAAAAAATTCAGACCAGAAACATCATTTTGGAAGGGTCAGCGGGTCTGTTTTTGGGTTTGGGTCCCGTTTTTGAACAATTGAACATCTCCTTCTAATCACCTTATCCATAACATTACGTCCACTCATCAGCTTCCATCCGCCATTTATGGCAAATGTTTATCCATAACAGTCTTAAGATGTCGGCTCATTAATTTCTAGCTTCGAATGTCATGCCGGAAACCTAGCTCCATGTTTGCTGTGCTTGATAAGTCGATGCATTTTCTCATACAAGCCTGTGATATTAGGTCTCACAATACGAAATGATAATAAAAGGACTGTTCCGGAGACGTGAAAGGTGGAACCCAGTTCACCCAACTTATGGATCTTTCTGGGGGGTTGGATTCGGAATCGGGTGCGGAGTCGGATGGGGCCCCGGGTTTGGCCCGGAAGTGATTGGTTATGTTGGATCCGGTTGCGGAGCAGGGTTTTGTATGGGAATCACTCTGCTCGGTTTTGGGATTGGCCTTTCCGCCAATTCCTTCTTCAAATCTCCTTCCAATGGTAATTGGTAAACATCTCATTCCTGAGTTTGCTCTTGTATCTACAGTAGGAAACGTTGTACATAGCTTGGTAATCTCATTTAGGGTCCGTTTGGTAAGATGTATTTGGCTGAAATGGCTAATTCTATTGATTTTTTTAAAAGCATATGCTTTTCGTAAAGGAAAAATGACTAGGGATATGATCAAAAGAGGGTGATTCCTAAAAATATGACTAGATAGCTTTTATTGCTACATTAATGGTGTTTTATATACTCCCTCGGTCCCAAAAAAATCTTCTCAGTTTGACCTGTATCGAAGAAAGTGAGAATAAAGTGAAAATATATGGTTGTGGCTGAGTAAGAAAAAAGTAAATGAATGATAGTCACACAAATCTTTCCAAAAAGGGAAATGGGAAGAATTTTTTGGGATGATCAGGTAAGTGGAAAGAATTTTCAGGAACGGAAGGAGTATATGATATGTGTTTTTATTCTACTTTTTCTCTCTTGAATTCAATTATGACTTATATAGAGTCACCTTTAAGTTCGCAAAATAGGTTTCAGCCAATAGTGATACTGAAATGTTTTAGTTTGGACTGATCGCACTACTAGTAAAATACACATCAAACATACTTTTGCTTTGCTTAAACAATCTAGACCGAACCAACAAACTGCATACCAAATGAAAACATCTTGGATGTTAAGTGATTAGGTCTATTGTAATAATATTGTGTCTGTTTTCTTTGTAGCATCCATGGCTATAAAAGGATGTGCTTCAGACGTTTCTAAATCAAAGGGAACTGATGGTTGGATGAACATGGGTCCACTGATTTCTGATCTACGTCAGAAAATAGGAAGCAAATTTACTACATCAATGATGAAAGATTATGTGAAGAATGCCACAAATGTATCTGATATGAAAACTAAAATGTGCTTACTTACAAAGGGTTTTTTGGATCAAATGGAGGTGATCAGCAAGCATGAAAGCAAAGGTAGTACTTTAAGCCTCTTAGAGTAACAAGTAGAGTAAAAGAAAAACCAACGTGTTTATTTTCTCTGGGGCAACTATGGAATGAAAAGTTTGGTTCACTTTTCCAAATTTAATGTGTGAAATGTGGGCTAAGACCTTTTAAATTCTAATTAAAAATGTGCCGTTGGGAGTTTTGTTTTTGTTTTTCAGAGATAGAATTCACATAAGAACTTCTTTTGCCTTCCATTCAGTAAATCAGGCCTTGCCATCAAGGATGACATAGCACTTTTTTACATACCTACTTTGAATTTTTTAACTATATCTTGAAGTATAATTGCAGGCAGCTTGTACAGTTTAAGTTTAGTTTTACCATGATTAATGATAAAAATGTACCTGCATGAGTGCTGTGTCTTTATTTTAGTATTCCAGAAACTTGAGAAGACATGTTTTTATGCTTGTAGGTTCCACAGATTGATGGCCCGATGAAGATTGTTCAAGGTAATATTACGGGGAGACAATGGAGATAAAGACTGGCATGAGAGGTTTCTTAAAACTGATCGGCATGCTTCTGTAATTATAAGAATTATCATTTTCCTTCAATGTAATATTGGAATTTGGAAGTACTCCCATATTCCCATCTTGTCCTTTTCAATTTACATTTTGGTTTGTATTGTGGCTTATAATGTTTGCTTTCCTTGATCAGAACTAGCCTACAGTTTCTTAAAACATATGCAGTTATATGCAGTTTATTTAGAGGGTGCTTGATAAGTATTGTACATAGGGGTGGACTCGGGCCGGGCCAACCGGCCCGGAACCGGACCGGCCCGCTACTGTGCGGGCCCGGACCGGCCCGGTCAACCGGTTGGTGCACCGGTTCGGGCCACCCGGCCCGGTGGGATGGCGGTCCGGGCTTGGGCCCTGATTTTGGTGAACCGGCCCGGCCGGTTCGGGCCCGGTCCGGGCCGGATTTTAATTTTTTTTTTTTTTGAAATTTTTTTAAGTATTGGGTTGGATTAGGTATTTTGGGCCATTTGAGGTGGTTTGGGGTGGTTTGGGGTTGAGGGGGAGGGGTAGGGGGTTAAAAAGGAGAACCAAAAAAAAAAAAAAATAGACCGGTTGGCCCGGCCCGGCCCGGTTTGGCCCGGCCCGGTTTGGCCCAGAACCGGAACCGCCCACCGGCGGTTCGGGCCCGGGCCCTAGTTTTCTGGCCCGAGGCCCGGCCGGGCCCGAACCGGCCCGAGTCCACCCATAATTGTACAATGTGTTTTATTCCCAGCTTATAGTCATTGAGCAAAACCTTTTACAAATAGGTGTGCAAAAGACTCGTTTGGTAATACTAAAATTGGTTGAATCGGTTGAAATTGATGAGATTATGATTGACTTGGCTGGATGTGCTACATTTAGGGGTGGAGCCGGGCCGGTTAGGGCCCGTGCCGGGCCTAGGCCCGGTCGGGCCTTTTGTGTTTAGGGGAAGGCCCGGGACCAGTCCGTGTTGCCGCCGGGTCGGGCCCTGCCTCGGGCCAATTTCTTTTTTTTTTTCCTTTTCCTAATTAACCCCCGACCCCCCCCCCCTCACCCCCACCCCCCAAACCACCCCAAATGGCCCAGAATGCCCAGCCCAACCCGGGTTTTCAAAAAAATTGATAAAAAATATATATATGGCCCGAACCGGGCCCGGCCCAGCCGGGTCGGTTCCTTTTTTTTTTTTGGATGAAATGTAAGTATATATTAACACCCAAAGAAATAACAAGTCAATGTTACAAGCAAAGTGCATATCCCGAACCAAGGGATAACACAACATCAAGATAGAGATCAACAAAAGTCAACAATTTGAACCTAAAAAAGACACATTAGGATCAAATTAAACTCAACAAAACAAGCTCACTAACAAAATTAGGAATCCCTAATTTAATGTCCAAAGAAAGCATGGAAAGGGTCCTTTACATGACCGGGTCGGTTCCTTATTTACATGACCCGAGCCCGCATCGGAAAACCCCCCAGGCCGGGCATACACGGCCCGGTCCCTGGCCGGGCCACCGGATCGGGCCGGGCCCAACAGTAGCGGGCCGGTTCCGGGTCGGGCCACCCGGCCCGAGTCCACCATTGGCTACATTATAAAAAAAATTATTATATGAACATATTCAAGAATAGCGTCCACAAGAATAAATTGAAATGAATTCAATTAATAAACTCTTATCATTAAAACGTCCTTTCTAGGTGAACACTTCTATAAATTTGTTCTTTCAATTTATTCTTGTGAACACTATTGATAGAATGATAAGAAAGGACGTTTATGTCAACAAAAGAACAAAATATATGAAAATAGTTAAGAATGTTTTTATAGTAATTTCAACCAATTCAAGCCGAAAAGTAATTTTAATCTTACTTATTTTGATAATTACACAATTTAGCGTGTAGAGTTACATACACAATAATTGTTTAAAAAGGACTAAAAATGAGCCTACCAAATGAGCACTATTTCTTTTTATCGAGTCAATTCTCATTTTCACTCCTTAACATCTACCAAGCATACATTTGGCATAATTGGCTTCATTGATCATTCTAAAATAGATTTGAATATGTTACATTTTAGGTTGTGAAATGGAGAGAGGCTACACTTCATCCATCACTGCTTTGTCACTTCTCACACAGGCTTCTTAGAGCATCTCCAATGGTAGAATGTGCACGGTTCACATGTGGCATAAGAGATAGCCACATAAATATTAACAAATAAATTATCTCTCTCCGTATTGGAATGATTTTATACAATTTTGGTATGTTTTTCCCTGCAATGTCAACTGCAATGTCAACATCTAGACAGTCTCTTTGACATTGTAGAGAAAAACTTACCAAAACTGTATAAAATCATTCAAATAAGGAGAGAAATAATTTATTTACTAATATTTGTGTGGCTCTCTCTCATGCCACATGTGCACTGTGCACATTCTACCATTGAAGATGCTCTTATATTTCTTTTTCATCCATCACAAAAGTCCTTTTTATTTTCTTTAAGAAAACCGTTGGGTGGTGAACGTCCTTTCTTGTCATTCTAAATAAATAAAACTCAACTCTACAATTTAGTTTCTTGATAAAAGTCAAAAACAAACATGAACCTAATTTGGTTACGAAGGACAAATGACTTTCTTTGATCTATTCAAACAAATGAATTATAAGTGCACTGCATGTTTGACACAATTCAAGCAATAAAGGAATAAAGGATTCGTCCTTGTTCTATAGTTGAGATTTTATAATACCGAGTATTAAATAATATTGAAATGAAATATGTCTCACAACCAAAAAAATTTAAGGTTTTATTAGTTTGGGACAAAAAGATGAAGAAATAAGCGAATTCAGTATGCTCGGGAGAAAACAACATTTTTGGTACTTGACAAAAAGACAATAGGTCATTCGTTTATAGAAACAATTCCAGTCCGTAATTTTAAATTTTCAAATCATTTTAGCCATTACCTAAAAGATTTAATTCATCGGGTATTTTGTGCCAAATTTTATTGAGGATATGTGCTGGGAAATGGCATGGAACGGAGGAAACATCAAATTCATACGTTAGAAAATCTCAAAAAAAAAAAAATCAACTCTTCCAGATTTGCACAACAATTCCAGTCCGTAATTCTACATTTTCAAATCATTTTAGCCATTACCTACAAGATTTAATTCATTTGGTGTTTTCTGCCAAATTTTATTGGGGATATGTGCTGGAAAATGGCAACGGACGGAGGAAACAAACTTTATAGTCAAAGAGATGGACCTGGGCCGGGCCGGGTCTAGGCCCAGTCGGGCTTTTGAGGAATGGGGGAAGGCTCGGAACCGGCCCGGGTTGTCACCGGATACGGGCCGGGCGGGGCCTTGGGCTACTTACTTTTTTTTAGGCTTTTCTACTTAACCCCCGACCCCCCCCCCCCTCAACCCCCACCCCCCAAAACACCCCAAAACACCCAGCCCCAACCCAAAATAAAATTGAAAAAAAAAGCCCATAACCAGGCCCGGACCGGCCAGGCCGGTAAGTCTTTTGGGTGACCCGAGCCCGCACCGTAAACCCCCCGGGCTGGGCCTACCCAGACCGGTCCCTGGCCAGGCCATCGGTTCGGGCCGGGCCCAAATAGTGTCGGGCCGGTTCCGGGTCGGGCCACCCGGCCCAACTCCATCAATACTTTATACGTTAGAAAATCCATAAAAAAACTCTTATAGATTTGCACAAAAATTCCTATAAGATTTTATACTTCTCAGTTTTCATTAGCCTGCTAAAATATCAAACCTTTTTTGCTCCAAATTATTCAAACTCAATTTTTTTTATTTTTGTTATAAAATACTAAGGTATTTAAACATATAAAAACTTAGGTTTTTTGCTACAAATAAAAACCTTTTTTATTTTAATGATCTTCCATTTGATTTTGTATTTTATGAAATAAATCAAAACAAAAGAAAACAATCCTTGGCTTCCCTATTCCATTCGCTCTTATGGTTTGAGATTTAAGATATTTTTACTTGAATTGAATTTTTTTGATCTGATTTAGTCTAAATCAGTTTGATTTGAATAATTGAATTGGTCTGATCTAGTAAATGTCTAATCTAAACTAGTTTTATTTGAAGTCAGATCTAATTGGATATGTTTAAATCTGATCTGGCTTGTTTAATCCGAGATTGATAGTTCAAGTAAGAACATCATCAATCTCAAATGCTCTAACCAGAAAGCATATAGATTGTTGACTGTAGCTGCCAAATTTATTACTGTTTGACTTGTAAAAATCTCAGAATGGGGCCATAAATTCCCATAATGCTAGATAGTACATGCTACACATTATTACTTCTACAGAGTACAACAACTACCTCTCAATTGTGCATAGTACAATAACTGAGAATCTTAAACCAAAGTGTGCAGAGCTAGTTGGGGGACATATTCATTTATTCTAGGGTAACAAACATGAAGAAGCCTCTCTGCATTATTATTTCTTAGACATGCTTAAAGTTTTGCTGTTGGATCGTGGTAATTCAACCGTACATAAAATGCAACTGGTTGATGACTCCTTCACATCTAGCATCTGCAATCCATTGAAACAAGTTGTAGGTCAAAAATCTTAAGTTCAAGCCTTTATGGGTCCCGCTTTGCAAACAAAACAAGAAGGAAGCCATAAAGGCAAATTGGAAGCAAATAAAAAGGGAAAATAAATTCAGATAGATAAACTTCATAGTGAGGACTGTGAACCAAAAAAAATAAAAAGGAAGGAAAAAAGCTAGCCATACAACTATTTTCTTAGAAGGATTTGAAGTTTATTGCTGAGACAGCCAAAAATGGAAATAGCGGAGTTTATATGGGATGAATGGATTATTTATTTAACTAGTGCTCATTTTATTTATTTATTTTATTTCTACTATATACAGATTAAGAAATCTAAATATACGGAGTACAATATATGTAGAACTTAAAAGAATTTGTTTTGCAATTTCCTTAGGTAAAACCAAGCCCGAGAAAAAACTGTTTTATCATTTTCTTTCCTTTCTCTGGCATTTTCCAGGATCCAAACATACCCAATGTCAATTATCACATGAAAAATAGGATGGTGTTAGGAGCATTGCTTAATACTCACAATTCAGGAACTGGCATTTCGTGAAGAAAAATCACGGGTGGTCATCGGAATGGACATGGAGAGCTGCGTTGTGTTTGACCCATCACTGTCAAGATTGGACCATGATTCCTTGGTTGCAGGCCATTCACTGAAGAAAGGGCGGAC